CTTTCTTTCTTTCTTTCTTTCTTTCTTTCTTTCTTTCTTTCTTTCTTTCTTTCTTTCTTTCTTTCTGTCTACTTACTCTGATGGCTATCCGCTAATGGCAGGCTGCTGAGCTGCATGAAGAATGGGAATGGCACACAGCACTGTCTCTCGACTGTTACCTAGGTAACGTTGACAGACAGCCTATTATGCACGTTATGTCAGCCTCCTAGTTGTTACTGTAAGTCAATGCTCTACTGCCAGCCTGGGAAAGTTTGCTGATGTTCGCAGAAAGTGCTTTCCTCCTGGGAACCTAAACTATATGACTGCAAGCAAAGTACAAGACACAATATTCTTTCTAACTTTGCCTGTGCAGAATGTTCCACTATTTTTCCCAACTTACAGTACCTCCCATAATTGTGCAGTAAAAGAAAACCATAAAATGGACTTCAGTAGCTTTTACATGGAAAAAGCTATTGAAAGCAGTTATATCTTTAGACTTCCAGACTCCGTGCCTCGTGGAACCACCTTTCTGGTCAACACAAATGAGCTGGAAGGAAACCATTGCTCCAAATTATTTTTCTCAAAATAGGGTTAATATTTTTTCCACTGTTTCTTCAATGAAAGCATAAATAAGTACCAAAAACTACCGTGATGAAAATCACCACATCTTTATATGGCTGGTGCCATAAAGAAGCGCTTTACAACTTTTTTTTTCCCAAGAGGATTATTTGTGTTTGTGTGGTTATGATTACTGTGAAACACAGCCGCAGTTATACAGTTACCTAAAAAGGATGTAATAAATTTTTTATCGTCCCTTATAACGTTGTCACATGGCCAAAAAAATATCACATGACCTTCCTCCTCCTCTTCACCTGCAGAAACAAACAGCAACAAGATGGAAATAAATACTGGTTGTAAATATCTGCTCAGTTTATGTATTGGGACGATATCGATATGTTAAAAAATGACCAATATCAGCCGATACCGATATTAGCACTGATATATCGTGCATCACTAAATCTATAATTAACCAATTAGCTGACTTCTGAAAGCAGTTGGTTACAAAGGATTTCCTTTTGTGGTATCAGAGTAAAGAGGCTTGAATAAAAAAAAAATCATAAAAGAAAAGGCAACATGAGCAGTGTTTTAAGACCTCGTGTAACCCCATTTTGCTACTGGAGGCAAAAACATCCAACTCTGAGGCAGCTCCACGCTGATCCCTGCTACCTTCTAAGAGCAGGACATGTATAGCTTTAGCTGTGGTTGCCACATAAACAAAATGCAGTCTAAAGGCTAGGAAACAATTTTCCTCATTTTGCACACACAGCAGATGGTAAACTTAGAATCGGGCGCCAACGTTATAAAACCAACCTGCCCTGACACATCAGTCCTGGCTGCCGCAGCCGGTGCGGTGATGCAGATTTCCTTCACACAATTTATGCTCCTGAAAAGGAAGCAGGAAGGCCAAAATCTACCTGAGCAGTTTCTGATAATGTGCATCGATTTGCTGATGGCTACGTCCGGCACGGCGATGATGATGCAGCTTGTCACACGACCTTTTAAGTCATAAAGCTGCAGGTGTGTGATCAGCATCCAATGCTGGCAGCATCACACGGCGTCTGTGTCAAACTGTAAAAGCACCTAAGGGGACCCATCAGGCGCTGCTGCTTCTAGCTCTGGGGACTATTAAAAACACAGTTCTTCTCCAGAACAAAACAGGCATAAAACACTACTCAGAATTTAATGAAGAATTTTTTTCTTTTTTTTCTTTCGCTTCCATATAACCATGAAGCAACAAGGTTGTAATAATCAATCACTGATTCTCCACAATCAGTGTACATAGGCAGGATGAGTGTCAGCTCCCCTGAGTCTGAAATTGAGGTTCCCAACAGGTGAGAGGTTGAGTCTAAGGCTGTAGTGATTCATCGGAGGACCTTCGATTTTCAAAATTATGTTATGTTAAGTTATGTTTTAACAATTAGCGCCTTGTGTTTCGGATGGATAATTATTTGTGTTGCGCTCTCACTTCTGCTAGTGAGCTGTTGACGAAGGCTAAGTGCTAATAGCAGCTATACGGCGAGGAACAGAAAGAAGCATCACCAAGAAATAGACTAAAAGTGTCAAAAGTGTTGAATCTCTTTAAGCTAAATAGAAAAGATAGCCCAGCTCAGTGCGGGTACTGCAAAACCGAATTGGCACTTCACAATGCCACGGCCTCGAACATCTCAGCTGGAAACAGCCACTACAATTATAATAGATATATTACTCAACTACTAAAATAATTATTTAGCCCTAGTTGAGTCCTTCCTCTGAGTCAGGGGTCAGTCTTTACCTCATGTTGGAAGAGTTCAAGTGCCTTGCGGTCTCAATCATGAGTAATGATGGGATGGACCAGAAAATGGATTAAATGGATTAGGGCCTAGTCTACAGTCATAGGAATGTCATTTGGGAGGTGGGATACAGTCTACCCTGTATATATCAAGGCAATGCCTTGGAATTCCTCTCAATGTTTACGACTTCGTAGGAAGATGAAAGGACAGGTGTCAAAAGTACAAGACCCACCAGAAAAAACTTTGATCCAGTTTTAGACTAATATTTTTATGTACCTTACAATCCCATCGCGTACCAAAATGAACACTTGACTATCATTTCGCACCCTTAGAGTGACTCACCTATATACAATGAAGAGTCCTTTTTGTGGACATGGTCATCAATGTACGACACTCCCAGAGGCTGGACGGGAGTGGCCCCGATGCCGAGCAGAACCTGAGCTCCGATGAGCAGAAGGTACATCATGTTGGTGTTGGCTCGGTTGCCGCAGTTAAAACCAGAGTCCCGATTCTCTGACCTGGTTTTGTTGGAGCAGATGACCCTGCCGTCCTCGGCATGCCATGAGTCCCCTGCCTCGTACTCATACTGATGAGTCAAAAACTCTGGTAGAGCTGAGAGCAGAGCCCCCAATGCCATAACAACCCCCCCACAGCCAATCAGCCGGGGTCGGTGGGCCTTGGCGCCGAAGTAGCTGACAAACAGGATCAGGGCCAGGTTGCCAATTTCAAAGCTGCTGGCAATGACACCCACATCGGCACTCTGGAGGTTAAAACGTCTCTCAAGAGTCGTCAGAACACTTACCTAGCAGGAAAACAGATAAACAATGAGTGTTACAGGTGTTAGCCAGAACCATTCTTGCGACTTTATCACACACAGTCTCTGTGTATTTAACCATAGTAAATGTTCATTAGTAATTATTCATAGAATGTATTTTCAAGTCGAATTGAATGCTTTTCAATAAGAACATATTTTGTGACATGCAGTAAAATTACGCTAAGTTCAGTATGCAGTAGTGTGTAGCTTGGGAACCTTGCTGGCAGGTCAGGAGTTGTTTTTAATATTAGTTCAATTAGAAGATTAAAGATTAGATCAAAGTCTTGAATAAGACTTAACCACAATCTAATCGAGAAAATCAGTGAGAAAAGGAGCAAGTTTTGTCATTTTAGGAAAGGGTTAGAAAGCCATTTCTAAGGCTTTGGGGTTACAATGAACCACAGTGAGAGCCATTATCCAGAGAACAGTGGTGAACCTTCTTAGGAGTGACAAGTCTGCCAAAATTGCTGCTAAAATCCATCAATAATTCATCCAGGAGGTCACTCAGAAATCTCCTTCAAGCCTCACTTGCCTCAGGTAAGAATGGTGTTTACGATTCAGCAGTCAGAAACTGAATCGTTTCTGAGGCACGTTTCAGTGAACTTGCCTCAATAGAAGAGTTCAAACGGCAAATCCACTACTGACCAAAAAGAACACAATGGCTTGTCTCATATTTGTCAAAAAACATATTGATGATCCCGGACACATTCGGGGGATAAACTATATGGATTGATGAGATAGAAGTGGATCTTTTTGCTAATTGTGTCCCATTATGGCATAAAACTAACACTGCACTACTTAGAACATTACGTCAAGATTCAAACATAGTGGTGGTAGTATGATGGTCTCGGCAGCCTCGCTGATCAATTACAGCAAGCACAATAAGTTCCATTTGCATGATTTTCATTTTTCTCTTTTCTCTCTCTCTTTCTACCAAAATCTGGATAACTAAAGTCTTAAATCTTGTCCATTGGTCTCAGCCAACTCGTTTTTTGAAGGACAATTTTGTCTTTCAGACTTCAAAATTAATTTTATTTGTTGCTCCTGTTGTTGTGTCTATTTATTTTTGGATATCTAAAATGTTTTCCAGTTCCAGTGTTAAATGTTCAATAGAATTTAAAGTTTATTGGTCTTTGGGAATGTGTTCTTGTGTGACTATACCGTTACCATTATATTACATGAAAATGGTCTCGAAACAACATTGTCAGTAATCGCAATAACTTCTGGGACAATTTATCATCTAAATGAGTTATCGTGTCAGTCCTGGACATATATTACACTACAGTAAGAACATGTGATAGGATGTCATCTTACTGAAATACACGCCAGCATTGTGGAATAAGACATCATAAATCTGGGGTCTCCAAAGTGCATCCCAGGGACTATTTGTGGCCCTTGTCCAAAATTCATAGCACAGATTTATTTCACCACACTAGTAACTTTAAATAGTTGACTTTACTAGAACATTGTGTGGAAACCCATTACCTTAAGTCATTCCAGTTATTGCACAACAATGAAACTAAACCAGTTTAGGTGTGTTAGCTTAGAACTTCAGTGCAGACTGTTGATGGTGATATGCTTAAAACAAACTAAAGTGAAAACTAGAAAACTTAAGCAACACACAATCTATCTTTTAATTACCACATTTTTCTTTTCATTCCATGTAACATGATAATACACAGCACCTCAAACAGCCAGTAACTTTTACTTGAAAGTATTAACTAGACTAAAAAAGAAAAACAACAACAAAAAAAGGGACACATATCATGTTCTTGTAGTCTAAAATATGTCTAAAAAAGATATTGTGTATTTAGTTTGTTTTTCCAAAAGAACTGTTGTTGCATTTTTCATAACAAAAGAGATGCTGTTTTTGTGGCTCAGGACTAATTTTAACAATTTAGGCTCATGTTACAAAAAGTTTGGACAGTCCTGCCCTGTTGTCATGCTGAACATGCATCAGTTCTAATAATTTATACTTCAGCATGCATTGAAACGGCTACAAAAAAAAAAAAGTGTCCTTGTCCTCAATAAACCCTTGCACCGAACAGGCAGTACAGTAATCAGACTATGTCGAAAGCTATCAGAGGACAAACCAAAAATAAAAACTAAAAAATCACAAAAGCAACTTCCAGGAAGTGGTTAGATGATCCATTGGAGAGGATGAGGCTTCACTTACAACTTAAAATGACATCGGAGATTTTGGATTGGATGAAATATGAATTCTGCCAGAGGTCATAAACTCTCCTCCTTTTTTTTTTTTTTTTTTTTTTTTTACCATTTTCTTCACTACTTGGAACAAATGCTGCTGCTGATCTATTAATACCAGAGCAATGAGAGGGGCTGGGGAGAGGCTCTGTCAAAGGAAATGTGGTGTTAATGAGGAAAAAAAAAATCTCGTGTCTTGTGTTGTGGAGATCACGTCATCTCCTGGGCCTGTGTGTGTTAAAGGCCTCCTGTATTATTTACCGATGCATTTCAGAGCAGCAAGAGCCGGTAGGAATGGACGAACCCCGGATTTCATAACCTGCTTCCACACTGTCCACAGACGCATAGAGATATGTTCTCCAAACAACGTGGAGCACACTGGCGCTGTGACGCTGTCTGGTGTCACACACACTCACACACACACAATAAAAAAAAACACGCACACACAAGCAGGCCCTGACGGGTGAAGCAGCAAGCCATCAATCAATAGCCGTGTTTACTGAAGGATGCCATTATGGTAATGGGATGGGGAATAATATGGCACCGGATGAGGCGACGCATCGTTCTGCCCGTGACCCCCCGTCATCAGACGGACATGTCTGAACTCACCAGATAGGCGCCCACGGTGCCCTGTGCCAGCATGAGCGCGCATTCCGCCACCAGGAAAATCTTGATGTTGGAAAAGCAGGAGGTCTTCTTCTGGTTGTCATCCTGCTCTTGATCGTCCGTGCTGCTCCTCTCGGTGCAGATCTGGCTTTTCACCTGCATCCTTCGAGCTCAGGCTCCGCTGGGGTAGGTCGGCGTGAAACTGAGCGGGTCCGGTCCGGCGGAGAGCATCTGGTTAGGATGGCCGGTGAAGCCGCGCGACGCTGCGAGAAGAAGCCGGACTGAAGGCGTCTCTTCCGAACGGAGCGTCTCTGGGGCCGGGGATGCGGAGAGGAGCACAGTCCGCCCAGGAGAACACAAACACAGAGACCGTCACAGACATCTCCTCTTTCTCCTCCTCTTCTTCTTCCTCCTCCTCCTCCTCCTACTCCTCCTCCTCCTCACCAGTCCTCTCGGTGGATGTCAGCCTACGTAGCTGCGAGTGTATGGATGACGGCTTCCAGTACGTACGATGACTGGATGTTGCTTCCCTACATCCGGGATGCTGCATTAGCACCCAGACTCTGCTGCGCTCTCATATTTTAAACAGCATACGTTCCTATCGTTTTTGTTGTTTTTGTTTTGTTTTTCAGATTAAAAGTAACTTTTGAAAAATTAAGCAAGTATTAAACATACTTTTCACTAAGACCACATTCCTGTATTAATTTTTTTTTATTGGACAGTATAATATTTTAATCTTTAATGTTGTATTTTATTTCATTGTGAGCAGCAAATATTTTTTTTTAAAATAAGGTTCAAAAACATCTTATTTATTGCATTTATTAGTATGCCATCTTTGAGTCACATAATGTGACGGACATTATGCGACTCAATATAATGTCGAGTCATGTAACTTCCGATTGCTTTATTGGCAATTGGAGGTTATAAATGTGATTTCAGTTTTCAATTCCGATTCAAAGGATTTTTGCCATTTTCTATGTTCGATATGTTTGTTTCAAATAATTACTTTTATTTACTGTATTTACTCCTAGAACACTTATGGAAATAAGCCTACAGTACTTATTTTGATCTCTTTAGTGGTAGTCAGTGGCGTCAGTTATTGTTTTGTGTGTGTGTGTGTGTGTGTGTGCGTGCGTGCGTGCGTGTGAAGTGCCTTGAGATGACATGTGTTGTGAATTGGTGCTTTATAGGTAACCTGAACTGAAATGAATTGATACCTGAAAGAGGGACCAGCTGAATATGGCTGTTATGCAGGAAGAACACCTGCTGGTCGGAGGCCTGCTGCCCCCTAGTGGGCTACTTGGATGTAACTCATATGATTTATCTTACATTTTTATTTATGACAGCCTTAAACACAAAAATAAACACTGCTGTTTGTTATCAAAAATACGTCAACATCAAAAGCAGAACCACCAGATTGCCACCACCATAGATGGATGGATGGATCCATTCATTTTCTTTACCCTTGTCCCTTATTGGGGTCGGGAGGGTTGCTGGTACCTATCTCCAGCTAACGTTCCGGGCGAGAGGCGGGGTACACCCTGGGCAGGTCGCCAGTCTGTCGGAGACCACCAGATTGCCCCAGTCACAAATTTGTTTCCATACATTCATAAAATGGTCTCTCCTAATGCAGTAGGAAGGAAATCTAGATGTTTGCCTATAGTTCTTTTAATTGCACAAACAAAATTGATGGGGAAATAATTTTTGACAATCTTTATATGAAATTGTTTTTATAAGTATATAGAATTTTTCCATTTCTTGATTTTTGTTGCACACTTTCAACATGTTTTTTATAATATCCACAAGGGGGTGCTGTAGCTCCCTCACTTCCAACCGACTCATACTCTGAATCGCTGAGCTACTCAAAAAATTATTTTCACTCAACATGGGAAAAAAATTCTTGTTATAAGTTAAATAACCTGCTACTGGAAATAGTTACATTTTCGTGAATATTAAGGGATTATTGGCTTAAAACAAGTTACTAAATCTTGCAGTAAAATTAACTGTACGTTAGTTTTGTCTTATTCCAAGTGTACTAAGATATTTGCACTATATTTCTTGTCCCTTTTCTAATATGTCTTAGGAATATAACCTCTATAACGTATTTAAGTAAAACCTATATGTGAGCTTTAGACTATGTTGACACTCAGACCTGGTTTAGTGCAAAGATAGCAGGGTGAGTAACCTACATTTCCACTTGAAATAAATAAATGAACGAATAATGTCTATCATTCAGTCTACTATTTGTCAAACAGTAGAAATAAAAATATGGAGTAATAAAAAATATCTAAAGGGCCACGTTCTTATAAATGAATGAGTGCCAAGATCAAATACCATCACCACCATGCAGCTTGTTTTTTTCTTGCAATAATCCTCGAACAATTAAGATGCCCGATCAGGACTGATTCGATAGCATCTTAGCGAGGGACGATCCATCAGGTGATGTGTGGACTCAGCAGACAGGGCGTCCATTTCTCACTGCGTCTCTTGGAGTTGTTCTGGTGATTTAGGCTCTAGCGCGGTGCCTGCTGATGCAGAGCAAGCCCACTGAGGACATTATTTTAGGATGCCTCTTAATCACAAGGTCCACTGAGAAGAGGGTCATAATGCATTTGTCCTCAGGAAAACCACTAAATAATCAAACGTGGATGAAGAAGATAAGTAATGTCGTTCCCCCGAAGACAGAATGCTGGATGTTTGCTTTTCTGTGATTTGAATTAGGCAGAGAATGTTTGAAGCTGCTGTATGTGACTTTTCTTTATATAGCCTATACATATATATAAATGAAGTATTTAATTTTTTTACATAGGCTTTTACATTGTCAATGTATAGACAGCATAGAATGAGAAAATAAATCATGAAAAAAATAATTCAAGCTCCTGTGCCAGTTCTAACTAGAAACAACCAATCAAAGCCAGGAGGCGGGTCTTAACGCTGTCTGTCAGGCCCGTGCGCGCTAAGGCTAGTTAGCATGGCTTCCGATGATGGCAGATGAACGGTTTTCTTTTAATGGTGAGTTCTAATAAGGTTGTTTGCAAAAAGCGTATTAGTATTGTTAATTATGTAGAATGTTATGTTAGATTTATAGATTTGAGTAAATATTTAGTACAAAGTAATACTTTCCAAGTGCTCGTTGCGCCTTATTATACTTTTGTGCTATTCCGCGCTGTATAAAGTAAGGAAAGCTTCTCACCTAAAAACAGCATTATCTTAGAGGGTTAGTTCATTATGCTTTAAAGAACGGTTCTGTGCAGTTCCGCATGCAAGAGCTCTCACTAAACAAGCAGGGCTGCATCTACAGAGGGATCGCCACGCTCTGGGCTTCCAGCACGAGCAGAACAGGAGCGACCGCGATTCCTACGTCAGGATCAACTGGCAGAACATCATCCCCGACACCGCCTACAACTTCAATAAGCACAACACCAACAACCTGAACACTCCCTATGATTACTCCTCCATCATGCACTACGGAAAAGACGCCTTCGCCATCGCTTATGGACTGGAGACCATCACTCCCATCTCCAACGCCAGAGTCCAGTTCGGGTAGAGGTAGGGGCTGCCCTGCTGGGACATCTCAAGGATCAATATGCCGTACAGCTGCTAATAAGATGAATGAAAATGCTCTAAAAATATTTCAGAAGTTTAGACAAATCAATGATTACCTGGAGTAAAGGAAATGTAAAATTACTTATTAGGGTTTTGTGTTTTTTGTTTGGTACCAGAAGTATATAACATCCCCCGAACTGATATTAGATTGTATTAAATTGTATCCTCCAAAAAATAATGAGCATCAACAAGATCTACCATTGATTTTGGTGACAGATTGGTGGTGTGGTACCACTGCCATTGAGATTAACCACAGCTGATCTCACGAGCCAGGCCTGAATAGAATTGACATGAAGATTCTGCCTAAATACGCAAAGCAGGTGAACAGCTCTCAAAAAGAAACACTTTATGTACCAAAGAAAATGTAAGATCAGATTAAAAAAAATTATACTAGTATAGATTAGATTGCACACCAGTTCTTAAGAAGTTGTTTGACACCAGTGAGTGTATATATATTTCTTTATTTTAAAAGTTTTTTTTTGTGACTGAGGTGAAAGGAAAACAGATTTGTTTTGTGTGTGTGTGTGTGTTTTTTATTATTAATAATCTTTCTTACAATATGCAGTTTGATCCCATTTTTGAGAAATTTTAAAAGGACAATATACTGTTTTTTCCCCCCAAAGCATTTTCCATATGACCCCGTTAAGAATCATGTGGAGTAGCATTAAAAAAAGGACAGTTCTGATAATTACAAATCAGAAACTTCCAAAAACATAAAATTAATCCAATGTTAATTAAATAGTTCAAAAAACAAAAACAAAAACAGACCAGTAACATGGGATTCACATTACTGAAAATGAAATAATTATTTTTTTTTTAAACAGAACGATTTCCATTCAAGAGGACTAATGTCAGTTGTTACGTGTATAAATATAAAAGCCCAGAAGGACCCAGAAATGCTCCTTATAAGTGTGTGTTTGTTTTGTTTGAACAAAGCGATGGAACATTTCTGTTTGTAGCTCCTCAGTGAAACAGGTGTTCAGATCCTAAAGCCCAGCAGGGGTGTGAAAATGAGGGTAGGGGGATGGTGGTGTTTTCATCTCCTGCTATAAAATATCTGCTCTATAGATACCAGACTGGGTGTTATTATCTTTGAATGGTTGAAGGCTCTACTTAATGAAGCTTTTTGTGTTTTTGTCCTCTCTCCATCTACTTCTGCTACATCATGGAAACGTCTCCTGCACACTCTGCCATGCCCTTCATTAAACAAGAGGAAGATATTTCTAACTCTGGACTCTATTTGCCTACACAAGAAAGAGTAGCAATTACCAGTATTGCTTTTGTAAGAAATCTATAGAAGATAATATATAATACTGTCCTTCAATTCAATTTGCCGTAGCATATTACATATTTTCATATTTTAGAAAAGACAGACAGACTGAGGGTCTCACACACCCTTAATGTCAGTAGCCGGCAGTGAAGCAAACTGGCTTTTACTTTAATAAATGAAACTATAATTTGAAAGCTGCTTATTCCTTTAATGCTGCTTATTTGTGTCTGATATTAACAAAATCCTTGGTGACCTGAAGCATGTAAAGGTGACAAAAAAGCAAAAACACACAAGAAAGCAGTAATGGTTCAAATGCTTTCATATCACTACACATCCTGATGTTTGAGGGTTTGTGTCAGCAGATGGCAGCAAAACCTTTTCAAACAATTATCCTCACCCCCTTCTCAGAATCCAAAATTGTTGTCACTCTGATTTGTGCATTTATTTTCTTTAGCACTTTTTAGGCAGTTGGTACCTCATGAAATGCTATAAAATAATTCCTCTATAAATTTTAAGCTGTTTTTCTCCTTAGGATTTATTTTCTTTATTATTATCATTTAGCATTTGGACTGTTTGTAGAAGCAATAGAGACCCAAAATGGATGTACAAAAATGAGCAAAATGTGAATTTTCCGTAATAGGTCCTTCATAACCTCTCACCTAAGCTATTAAGCTTGTTCTAATGGTGTAACTGTGTAACAAATCAAATATCCCACTCTGGTATCAATTTGTACTCTTCAAAAATTCCAAACATATTTTAATGTTGTGATTCTCCATAAATTCACAGAGGGATGAGAGTGAACGTTAAACTAATGTTATTCACTGGCAGTTGCTACTGGAGCTAACCAGGCTATAGGATGGTGCTCACTGTGGCATCACAGCAAGAAGGTTACTGGTTGAAACTCCAGGAGTCACACTCACCCAGTACATCTGGAGCGTTGATCAACTGTGATGGACGCATGGTCTTCCCAACTTACAACAGCTGGGGCGGACTCCTGCGTTCAGAGTTCAAATCCTAGACAAGCCCCCACTTTGTTATGACTTGGCTCTGGGACCATGACAAATAAAGGAAATCAATGCATGGGATAACTCAAAATTAGATTTATATGACCAAAATCAATAGAGAAGACAGGGCAAGGATGTGAAGTTCTTCGGGAGACACTGGCCAGCTGCCTCCAGTTCTGATCAGCACCAATTAGAAGCACAAAGCTTTATTTATTTGAGGATGATGAGTTTCTGCCTGCATCACTGAAAGTAAAGTTAATATTTCAAAGGGATCAGCTTGCACTGCATGTGATAGCCTACTTGGGGAAAGAAAGCGGTGTATTTTGTGCAAGAATGAAAAAAAATAATGCAAACAAGTGTCTTCCAGATAAGCACACCATAGATAATATGTATTGTTTGTCACCAGGTCCTGAGTTAGTTTTCATTGTATTCAGTTTATCCGAGCCTGATCCCTTTTCACATATTTAGACACAACCAAGCATGGTCTTCCCAACCCTCAAATGTTTAAAAAACATTTGAGGGTTTTTTTAAATTTCAAATTATTACTTACTTTAAATATTTTCACATTATTCCTGTCATTTTTGTTCATGAGAATGTGAAGATCAAGTCTTTTCTGTTTAGTGTAATTGTTATATTCAGTGCTTATTTCGCAGATTCTTATTTGCAAACAATTCTGAAAATTACATTTCCTTTGACATCAGAGTTATGCACTAGTTAGATTTGTATTACCACATCAAACCCCAACATAATATAATTAAAATATGCAGTTGTGATGTTTCAAACTGTAAAAAATGAAAATCAGCACATGTACTTTTGGTTGAAAAAACAAAAATGAATAAATAAGCATTAGCTCAATACACTAAATAGACACCAAAACATTCTCTCCATGAAATACTAACTCTTCTGCCCTAATTCCAATGATATAGATAAGTCAGTCGGAGACAGATTTTTTTCAGTCTGACCTAGTTTCTTTTGAAATTTCATCGGTCATTTTAACCCCCGAATAAGCTTAATGGCAACAAAAAGAAAACAGTGAAGAGAGAAAAACAATGCAAGCAGATATTGCAAGAGGAAGCACACAAGAGGAAAGAACCAGATGTAGGATAGTAAAATTAGCTTACACCCGGGAGCAATCATTAATATTACTTCCTGAACTGTCGAGGCTCTTTGTTTGCAACACGACTACATGAAGCTATTCATTTTGGTCTAGTGTAATTAGTTCTACATGTGGAGTGTCAACACTTCCAACCTGGTAAATGTCAAGCATCATTTAACCATGCAAACTATTGGTATGGGTATTGAATGTACAGGCTGGTGTGTCATTTGCACCTGTTGAACTTTTTCTCTTTTAATCAGGGTTTAAGCATAAACCCAGTTATATTTTACTGCATCAAATAAAAAAAATCTTAAAAGTGTGGTGTGCATTTGTGCTCAGCCCTGTTTACTTTAACACCTCCACTTTAAAGACTTTGCAACCAGTCTGGTAGCCTTTGACCAGATAAACAGTAAGGTTTATCTGGTCAAATTGCATACTGACAGATGCACCTGGTAACCTTGCGTCATTTAAACTTAAAGGGGCAATGCTGTGCATTTTCCAGGCACATAGTGACATTTTATAGCAGTCGAGTAACTATGTTAACTTGACTTAACAGAAATTTGACTTTGTAATTTAACGCCTTAAAATTCTGCCTCTGTCTCTTTAAGAAGCTCCCGCTCTTCCTGAAACTCCGCCTTCAAGAAGTCAACACAACATGGCTCCTCTAACAACTCTTTTTTTTTTTTTTTTTTTTTTTTTTACCGGCGTTTCACTGATGGGTAGCTCTTAAAATGAGCTCAGCAGATGTGCAGTACAATCAGTTGTTTGCTAATTGTTGCTGGCTAGTCTGAAGGGATTGAGTAGGGAGTCACGGGGGAGAGTTAGTCTGTGAAGTGGAAGTTCAGAAGCTTGGAATCTGCAGCTCTGAGGAGGAGCTTCATCTCAAAGGCGGAGTTAGGTCCACCCAGGTGTTCAGCACAGCCGGATGGTTGCCACAAGCAGGGGTGAAAGTAAGGGGGTACGGTAAGGTACTAATCAGTACCAGCAAGAGAGGGGAGCGGCTGTCAGCTGTAAAGAATCAATGGGTTCACTGTGAAGCCGTGAGTTCACCCACTAATCAGCCGTGACTGATTAGTTTTTCAAGAACAATCTAAAACACGACTTAATCAGTTAATAAATAACTTTTTTCCCATTTCATATTGTTTCTGAACTGTTCGTGCTTTGTTAGAACAGAGCTGCAACATGTCGATCGCGGAAGGTTTTGAGTCGATCTCGGCATTAGGTGACAAACTGAACGCCGCCAGGAGGCTGAGACCAGCAGGTCCTCCTCTGATTGGCTTAAAACGTTCGTAACTTTATTAAAGAACAACAACAAAAATAATCAACAAAAACTTTTCAACTTAATGACCCAACAACAATAATAATCTCAGTGATTATTGTTTCTACAAGGTGTTGCGCAATTCTGTGCGCTTCGGTTCCATTACCAAAATAACGAGCAGAGCAGGAGTTTAAAATGAACTAATCAACCACCGCTGTGTTCAGGGAGGCTTAATAATGATCGCAAAATAAATATCAAGCCTTAAAACCTGATATCGTAACGGACTGAATGTTATGTTTTTAACGTAATCTCTGG